TCTTTTCGTAATTGAATTTGATTAATAAATGAATTAACAGCGCGTGGACATTCCAATATTGAAAATTTTTCTTTCGAATCGTCATTATCAACATTACAACCCTAAACAACACTACACAAGTGAACATAGGCTATAAGGAATACCATAAAACGCAGTCTTGAGCCACTTGCGTTTATAGATTTCTTTTTATTTATTTGTTTATTGACCTAATTATAGTAGTACTAGAATTAAGAATGAGGTGGACAAAATTCAAGCAATAATAAGTGGCTACCGTAGCCCATGGACAACGGCAACATTATAGGCCATATAAGTTTGTAATTACACACACTTTTTGATATAAATTCAAAGATTTTCCATTTATAAGTATATTTTTCATTACATGCGTAAGTAGATACAATTTTTATTGGGGTTCATTTGTTTTTTTAAAGCCTTTTTTAAGTAAAACAGCCAAGTCAAAATGCTCATTAATCTTGCAGAATTGGTTGTGTTAAAGATTTAGTTTTATTCGATGTATTGATTTTGTATCAAGTCAGGGTGACGTGATCATTCAGTTTTTTGGTATTGATTACGGGTGACAAATATACTGGATGATATTTTCGGCCTAAGGAAATACGTGTTGCCACCGACGATCTATGGATCTGAGACGTGGTGCTTCCCTGCCGGCCATATGAGGAAGCTCAAAGTCGCTCAGCGAGCTATGGAGAGGGCTATGCTCGGAGTTTCTCTGCGTGAAAACTTAGTAATAGGATTACTATATAAGTAGGATATACGTAGTAGAACTAGAGTAACCGACAAAGCTCAACAAAAAGGGTGAGATTAGTAAACCGAAGTGGAAATGGGCCGGCCACATAGCTCGAAGAACCGATAACCGATGGGGAAAAAAGGTTCTCGAGTAGTATCCTCGTACTGGCAGGTGAAGTGTAGGGCGTCCCCGTACTAGATGGAGTGAAGACCTGGTAAGACATGCAGGATGTCGATGGATACAGTTAGTTCACGACGAATTTTTTTCGTTGCATTGAGATAAAACCGAGAGCATAAAACCTTTGATAACGTGTTCGGGTAATTTGGCTTCAGATACTCTTTCAAACAGTTGCCAAAAACCTCCTTAAATCTTCTGATACTATGGAAATATTTCGAATAAATAAAAGTCTTAATAACACGAACGCCGTAGGATTTGATGACATAACAATCACTGAAATTAAATTATCTGCACGATACATATGTCAACCGCTATGTTATGTAATTAATATGTCTTTTAACGAAGGTACCTTCCCAAATATATTGAAAAAATCAATCGTTAAGCCACTTCTTAAGAAAGCCGAAAAATACGAAATGAATAATTGTGAGGCAACTCAGTAGATATAATAATACTTTTATTATATCTGTAAGCCCTTGTTTAAAAAGTACAATATCTTGACATTAACATGCTTGTACATTAAAGAAATATGCATATTTGTAAAACAATATCCTGAACACTTTGAAGGGCATATAGACGTAACTGAACGAAATGTAGCTCCTAGAAATAAACATAAATTATACTAACCTCAATGCAGGCTCAAATTGTATGAAAGGAACTCTAACGTAAATGCTATAAAGATGTATAATAAAATACCCAACGACTTTAAAGAGTTACCTTTAACCATGTTTAAAATAGTTGATACAATGGTTAAAATAAAAATGTTATTACGACATAAATGAATATATGTATTTTTGTGAAAAATAAATCTGAAGTCAGTAATAGGTGTCACGTTGTTTGTCCGCGATGGACTGCTAAAATACTTAAACGATTTTAATCAAATTTGCACACCGTGTGCAGTTTGGTCTAACTTGAGAGATAGGATAATTTTTTGCCCATGAGTGACCCACAATTTTTTTGCTAATTTAAGGATTTTAATAGGACATGACAAAGGGTTGTCGAAAAGCGCAGAACAACGTCTGCTTGGCATGATATATATCTAATAAAGACCTCCAGACCGAATTTCAGCCACGGCCGCCTGTATCAACGGAGGCTAGCCATCGGCGCAGGACAGGATTATAGTGCCCAAGTGTATGCGCAAGCACAGGTGCACTCTCTATTTCCTCACTCTCATAATCCGATGGCACGGTAAACCGACACGACCGGAGAGAGATAAGGCGCAGGACCAACGGCTTTACGTATTTTTCGAGGCACGGGGGTGAGACACCGCCAACTTCCTGACTCCGAGCAACTACTAAGAAATTCTTGACAGGAATAACTCAATAATTGATTTTTTGGCCCGACCCGGGATTTGAACCCAGGACTTCATGATCAGCAGTCGCACTACTACAACCACTAGACCAACGAGTCAGTCAAATATAAATAGTATCTAATGAATAAATATATCTAATAATTAATTAATTATGAACTACCTGAAAATATGGACATTAACAATTAAGAATAATCACTACAAAATGTGACATTTTAAAACCTATTACTTAAATAACATGATACTGAAATGAAATGAAATGAAATGAAAGTTTATTGTTTCCAACATTTTCTTATAATTAGTACGAGTTTGAGGACATCTTTAAAGATACTTGTGGTAGAAGACCCTCGCCCGCCCGTGTCTTAAGTCACTGAATTATTTTTTTCTTACAATCGTATGTCTTTAACGGGTAATATTTTATTAATTTGATTATATAAATGTTCTGATTGTTTTTCATATTGATTTTTCGCAAAGTTGGTTTTCGTACTGCATATAGAAATTAAGCTATAATTTCTTCTTCTACTACCGTAAGTAGGATTAAAAAACAAAGACTTACGTTTTTTTAACAAAGTGTGTAATATGTACGACTGTCTCAACGAAATCAGGCCACAAGATGAATACAAAATGCTAGTGGAGAACCTATATGCCTTAAAATGTATAACTTTATAACTATATTAACTTTCAATAAACCTCTTTGAGCTCTGTCAACTTCAATACATTTACTTTTATAAGTAACCCCCCCCCCCCAAATAGGTATACAATATATTATAATAGATTGAGCAAGCGCTACATAAATTTGATTTAAAAGATCTGAACACGCAACATATCTTAAAGTTTTAAATATCCAAGTGAGTTTTCGAATTCTACTAGACAATTTGACATGTTTGTACCAGGAAAGTCGTTGATCCACCATAACGCTCAGATACTTTGTGTATGAAACATTTTCAATAGACGTACACGTACAGTTACCACTGGAAGAATTGTAAGATTTATGTATTTTGAATCTAAAATCATCCTTTGGCTGTGATCGGCTAGTTACAGAAAAAACATATGAATTGAGATTTATTAACATTCAAAGTAAGTAAGTTATTATCAAGCCAACGAGCAACCTTAGCTAATTGTTTTTCCGCTATTAATTGCACTTCTTCCCAAGTGTCTCCCCAAAATAATATCGCAGTGTCATCTGCGTATGAGAAAATTCATACTACACAGATTATTAATATACACTAAGAATAACATAGGACCGAGTACGCTTCCCTGCGGTACACCATAATTAACATTTGTATAGCCACTACTTTATTAACCTATTCTTACAATCTGTGTCCTGTCAGAGAGGTAATCCTTTAAAAGTTTTAAAGGTATACCTCTGATGCCAATCTCTTCTAATTTATTAATAAGAATGGGGATTGATACAAAGGCTTTTTTTCAAAGCATATATTTGCAAAATAGCAGAGGATAGGGACAAGTAGTTGTTTAGCCATCTTGAGAAATCCGGTTGAAATATTGTCCCAGGCAGGGACGGAATCAGATTTGAGACCTGAAATAATACTGTTGATCTCTTCCGGATAGGTTTCCATCAAAACAAGGAAGAATGTGCCTTTACAGATACAGTTTAATATGCTTCATCAATACGGTAAAAAGATAAACAATTATTAGGATCGTTAGTACTTATTTGCTCGCCAAGATTTTTACCCACACTAGCAAATTACTCGTTAACTTTATCAATCAAATGAACTGGTGAGGATTTCGAACTTAACAGGTCTAAACTATCGACACTTGATTGTTTTGTATGGGTTACGTTCTTTATGTGCTTCCAGAGAGTTTTACTTGATTTGGATGATAGTGCTAAAAGTTTATTTTCATATTTCCATTTAAGTTTCTTGATTAATTTAGTAACATAATTGCGATACCTTTTGTATGTAAATTTTAATACTTCATTATAAGGATTAAATGTTAGCTTCTTTTGCATACTATTCCTATTTCGTATACATTTTAAAATACCTGTTGTTATCCATGGTTTAATTTTTTGCTTGTTACTAGAAATATTTACAATTTTTGTATTTTCTTCAATTGATTCTTTTATTTTATAAATTAATTGATGTATTATAATATATTCTGGATTATCACTAAAAAGAAGGTTAGACAGGTTTTTTGAGCTAGACTGGCAAGTGCTTTATAATAGTCAGTGTTGTGTTTAATTTTAACATTAATTACATTTTGTCTAATATTGCTTAATTTGAGTAATATAATAGCATGGTCTCTGATAGAAGTGTTCAGTACAGTAATCTCAGCAGAAATAGTTTGTTGATTTAATTTTAGTATGAAATGATCCAAGCGGCTGTTCTCTCTTGTAGGGATATGATGTCCCGGTAAAAGCCCATACGTAGAAAGCATATTTAAGTATTTCGACCTATTAGTTATTTCTTATGTTCGTTCTGTAAGTCTAGGTGTAATATTTATATTAATATCTCCTGTTATTACAAAATTTGAATGCTCTTTTAACGAGTCCAGGTGTTCACTAAGAGAACTGATGAACTGTTCTGCGTTGGGATTCGATGGTGACCTATATATGCCCAGTATTACTAAGTTTTGTACAGAAGTAAACAGAAGATCAGGCGACACGACGACATCGATTCGAGCAGAGGAGAGTAGAGTAGATTAGAGTAGAGTAAGTACCTAAAATCTGAGCGGTGCGGTGCGATGAACGTGTGGAAGAGCGTGCGGTGAGAGGCGACGGTGAAGTACTAGCAAGAAGCGAGGAGCGAGGTAGCAGCGTTGCGCCGCGCCGAGCGGGGCCCGCAGGCGGACGGCGAGCAGCGTGCCCGGGTGCTGCGCCTGATCGAGAGCGGCAAGCGGCAGGGCGCGCGGCTAGTGGCGGGCGGCGAGCGCACGGGCCACGTGGGCTACTTCGTGCAGCCGACCATGTTCTGCGACGTGGGCGACCACATGGACATCGCGCGCCGAGAGCTTTTCGGGCCAGTGCGGCAGATCATGAAGTTCTCGCAGATCGACGACCTGCTGGAGTGCGCCAACGACACGCACTACGACCTCGTCGCCACCAACTTCACCGGGGACTTGGACAGGGCCAACTATTTTACCCAGGTACCTACCTACCTCTCTCTACCTTTCAATTTTATTATTATAATACGTATATACAGTAAATAGATGTACTTACTAATTAGTAATTGTTGTAGTTAACTGTTGAATGATGAATGTTTACTGAATTTGAACGTTTCCCTCTCGAACAGGGCTTGCGCGCCGGCACCGTTTGAGTGAACGACAACAACGTTTTCGGTAACCAAGTGCCGTTCGGCGGCTACAAGCAGTCCGGCATCGACCGCGAGAACGGACTCTACGATACCTATACACAATTACACCGAGATGAAAAGCGTCATCGTAAAGATCACCGAGAAAAACTCGTAATTTTTTGCTCATTATACCTCGTTGTATGTTAGTCATCATATTTACTTTTTGGTGATGATGACCATAATATTATATCCAATAATGAGAATTGCGCCGACCATACCTAATCTAAAAGTTTAACATTCAATTTCATCAGTAGTACTAATTAAGCCCGCACAAACGAAACAAAGTATAAACACGAAATATAATATAAGATAAACTCGTCCATTTTAGAATAAGCCTTTTTACCTGGGTACGTTGCTTAACGAAATGTATTCATCTCAAACGTTACTTACACTACAACTGTCCGATATTTATAAGATATAATATATAATACTATAATATATAATAAACTATACAATAATAAATATTATATTTTTTTCTTAACTATTGTTTAATTTTTTAACTTTAAACCTATACACACTTGAAGTCGAGCCTTGGCTTACTATAAAATCTACGAAATGGTTTTTCTTCATATTAATAAATTAGATAATAATAATTAGATTTAGAAATTAATTGAATCGCGAGAAAATGATGAGAAATAAATAAAAATATTTGCTTTATGTACCTATATAACAGATAAATGATAAATTTTAGCTTTTAAGCTATTGCATAGCTTCTATCGCGGGCCTTGAGCGCGGGGACCGAATCCAGAAATTCATTACGTAACGAAAAAACCTCACGCTCCCCACTCCGACGGGCACGGAGGTGTGGTTTGAAGGCCGTGCATCGTCTAACGTCGTTTCAGTTCGGCAGACTTCGGCACGGTGTTTTTGTGCGTGCGACAAGACGTATGCGTGTACACTAGCTGCTAACTCAATGATAAAAATTCCTGAATAACCTACATGTATTGTGAGATATTAAAAATATTTTAAACAATATTAACTTTTCATTTATTCAATAAATATTTATGTAATATAAGTATCCTGTTTACTCCAAAGAATACAGTTTTAATTTTTTTTTTATTGGATAGATTGGCAAACGAGCACACAGTCCACCTGATGGTAAGTGGTTGCTGCAGCCATAGACATCTACATCTATCCTCGATTACAAATCAAAATGCAGATGCGTTGTCACCCGTGAGAACTAAGATGGAATGCCTCATTTCCAGTAAAAAGGGTCTTCGGTTCTCTACACTCACCATACGAAACACAGCAGCATTAAGACACTATTTCACACTGGTATTCTGTGAGAGCGTGTTCCTTCCTCGGTCGAGCCTGCCCATTAGTGCTATATACTACTAATATAACTGCAGCATGGATCTACCATGTATAAACTATATACACTTAACTACTCAAAATAGTCTCATATTTTGCTTGGACGAGATATTGTTATACTTAATAAGTTTAATTAGTTCTACATAATGTCAAACATTAAACGTGAACTAATTTCTTTAAAAAATGTACAACAAGTTATATATAATTATATATCAACTGGATTTAGCCAGCGAGAAAATGAAATCATGTCGTGTTTACGCCATATTGCGTATTTTTAGCATACCACCTTGAAAGTTAATCAATGTTTGTTCGATAAAATCATTTTACGTATAAAATGCAGTAGATGGCGATATAACAAATTATTATTTTACTTGTATACTCCAAAAAATACAGTTTTAATTTATTACACTTAAATTCTCAAAATACTCCCATATTATGCTTGTAAGCGGACAAGACATTGTTATACTTAATAGGTATAATTAGTTCTACACAATGTCCAACACTAAATTTGAACTAATTTCTTTAAAAAATGTACAGTACCTACCTACCTAATATCTAAGCATCTAAGTAATATTTTATGTTACATTACTTTTTATACACAAAAACAGTTCAAACTTAAAAAACTATCATAAAACTAATAAAATTATATTTATGTAAACTAAGTATCCATAAAATCTCATAATATAAGAGGTGACATTTAAGTCTATATCAATAGGATATAAATGCCTATATCCATAAATGTGTATTATGCCATCCTTAAAATCCGATAACATAACAGGTTACATACAAGTATATATCAATAGGATTTAGCCTGCGAGAAAATGAAATCGTGTCGTATTTGCGCCATCTAGCATATTTTGAGCGTATCACCTTGAAAGTTAATCAATGTTTGTTCGATAAAATCGTTTTACGTATAAAATGCAGTAGATGGCGCTATAACAAATTATTATTATACATGTTTACTCCAAAGAATACAGTTTTAATTTATTACACTTAACTTCTCAAAATATTACCATATTATGCTTGTAAGCGGACCCGACTTTGTTGTACTTAATAAGTTTAAGTAGTTCTACATAATGTCAAACATTAAACGTGAACTAATTTCTTTAAAAAATGTACAACAAGTTATATATAATTATATATCAATTGAATTTAGCCACCGAGAGAATGAAATCATGTCGTGTTTACGCCATCTAGCGTATTTTTTGCATACCACCTTGAAAGTTAATCAATGTTTGTTCGATAAAATCATTTTACGTATAAAATGCAGTAGATGGCGATATAATGAATTATTATTTTACTCTTTACTCCAAAGAATACAGTTTTAATTTATTACACTTAACTTCTCAAAATAGTCTTATTATGCTTGTAAGCGTACGAGACACTGTTATACTTAATAGGTTTAATTAGTTCTACACAATGTCCATTCTGTACTATTTCACGCTGGTATTTTATGAGAGCGTGGTCCTTCCTCGGTCGAGCCTGCCCATTAGCGCTACGACTATACTACTAATATAACTGGAGCATGGCTCTACCACATATAAAACTATATATACACTTAACTTCGCAAAATAGTCCCATATTATGCTTGTAATCGGACGAGACATTGTTATACTTAATAGGTTTAATTAGTTCTACACAAGGTTAAACACTAAACTTGAATTAATTTCTTTAAAAAATGTACAGTATCTACCTAATATCTACGCATCTATATAATATTTTTTGTTACATTACTTTTTATACACAAAAACAGTTCAAACTTAAAAACCTATCATAAAACGAAAAAATAATTGTTTATGTATCTAAGTATCCTCAAAATCTCATAATATAAGAAGTGATATATAAGTATATGTCAATAGAATTTAGCCTGCGAGAAAATGAAATAGAACATTAAATTAAATCGTTTCCTGTTTATGACGTCTAGCATATTTTATGCATACTACCTTGAGAGTTAATCAATGTTTTTTCGATAAAATCATTTTGCGTATAAAATGCAATGCATGACGATATAACAAATTATTATTTTACTTGTTTACTCCAAAGAATACAGTTTTAATTTATTACAATTAACTTCTCAAAATATTACCATATTATGCTTGTAAGCGGACCAGATATTGTTATACTTAATAAGTTTAAGTAGTTCTACATAATGTCAAACATTAAACGTGAACTAATTTCTTTAAAAAATTTACAGTTCTTACCTAATATCTACGCATCTATATAATATTTTATGTTACATTACCTTATATACACAAAAACAGTTCAAACTTAAAAAACTATCATAAAATGGAAAAATTATTATTTATGTAATATAAGTATCCTTAACCCTTAACCACCTAGCGTCGGTCACAGTAACTCCAGGCGATATATTTTTAAGCTATTGCATAGCTTCTATCGCGGGCCTTGAGCGCGGGGACCGAATCCAGAAATTCCGTAACGAAAAAAAACCTCACGCTCCCCACTCCGACGGGCACGGAGGTGTGGCGTTGAAAGCCGTGCATCGTCTAACGTCGTTTCAGTTCGGCATACTTCGGCACTTGGCAGACTTCGGCACGGTGTTTGTGTGCGTGCGACTAGACGTATGCATGTACACTAGCTGCTAACTCAATGATAAAAATTCCTGAATAACCTACATGTATTGTAAGATATTAAAAATATTTTAAGCAATATTAACTTCTCATTTATTCAATAAGAGAAAAAAAATTGTTTTCTTATCGGTCACCACGCTCAAAAAGTGTAACTTGATTTAATATCAAAGACTTAACTGCATAAATAAAATAAATAAATAATTATAATTTCATAAGTTGATAAAAAATGCTATGCAATAGCTTAACCGCGGTAGTCACCGAGTGCCACACGTATTTTTTATTTGCTAATGAAAACATCAACGCCATCTACATTATATTAGCCAATAACACGTAGAATCTAACAAAGTTTTTGTAAAATTTTCTTTAGATGCTGCCATATTGGCACTTAAGCCTCCTGAAATATTAGGTTAGTAGAAAATGATAGGATAGCATAGAAAACAATAAGATAAAATTGTAGAAAACATAGGTAGTACTTTACTACATCCCATCTTATGTACATAGTTTCGATTGTTTCGTTGAAAATAAGAAAAATGAATGTCATCGATTATCGTATCCATTCCACTGTGAAAGGTTAAGACGGTTCTTTTGCTAGAATCTAAGGGAATAAAGAATCGACGAGACGAGACTTCAAGTCAATGAAATGTCTCTAGTAGCGTTTTCGTTGTCTCATCTTGTCATTAAGTGATTACATACGATGATGTGGTGTGGTAAGGTAGAGCCACGTCGCAGTTGTATTGAGAATGCAATAAGAATTGGTCGGCTTCTCCGATAAAGGGCCACGCTACGCTCTTACAGAAAGAACACCAGCGTATAAAAGCAATATAACGCTACTGTCGCTGTATTCGTCCTCAATCCTCAAGCAATCTGCATTTTGATTCATAACCGTGGAACGACATGGTGGACTGTGTGCTAATTTGACGCATGCACTTAGGTATAATATAAAGTACCCACTAAGTGAAGAAGGTAAGACTACGATACTGTGAATTAAATTTACCTAGGTAAACATGCTGTGCCATGTTTTTATAGAATTATTTGAATTTCTTTTATATGTCACTTTGGATAATC